AGACCTTCAGGAAAGCCAAAGCTACCTTACGAAGACATATACAACTGTGACCTGATAGATACCAGAGAAAATCAACCTCATAGCGGGAGATTGTGTTTCCTATGTGGCGGAGACTGCCACTCCCGCATCGGACTTTACGGTCACAGCAGATACTGTTCCCAAAGCCAGCAGCACATTTATCTAGTCCCCAGGGACTGATGTATGCCATTATTACACGCAGTGATTATTGTCTGCTTGTCTCTGATTATTTGTTTCTTTGCTTATGTCTGATGTTTGTCTTCTTGTCTCTGATATTTATTTGTGCGCTTGTGTCTGATGTTTGTACGTTTGTGTCTGATGTTGATATATATGAGTCTCATGTTTGTCTGCTTGTCTCTGATTTCAGTCTGCTTGTTTGATTTTTTGTGTGTTTGCTTGTGTCTGATGTTTGTCTGCTTGTCTCTTTTTGTTTGTTTGTGTCGGATGTTTATACATTTGTGTCTGTTGTGTACAACACATGAGTCTAATGAGAGGGTGCGCATGACCGCACCAAGGTGGTGAGGAATCTCTTCTCAAAATTCAGTATGTGTAACAGAATAACAAAACATCATTGATTTTCTTAAGAAATTTGTTATTTGTACAAATATTGATTTGTCAGTGTTGCTTGTGATGCTGCAGGACAGTGTAGGTAAGTGTACAGATGTATACACATGTCAGGGTGGATGTTGGGTCTGCCTTGTTTACCACACAGTAAGTGACACTGCTGTAAAAGGTAGGCAATAACGACACATGTCTGGCTAGCGCCAAAAACACAGGTTACATTAAAGTGGATTAGATCACTGCCTCTTATCAGGCTCAGAGCCAAAGTGATAGGACAGGGATCAGCTGGTCTCAAAGACATGACACTGCCATACTCAGACAAGATGTCAAATGTTGCCTGTTCTAAACAGTCGGAAGCAATCTTTAGACAACACGCCCCTTGACATTCATTGATATCTGTCCGACATAGTGACAATGGCGGGAGCTCAGCTGGTCATCTCTGCTCAGTCTACATCAGCAGAAGTTGTAATGTCGCTCTCATGGAAAATGCCATACAAAATACTACACATAGAGAAGTGGCCAGAGTTGTTAATGTCAGTTGCACGGAAGATAAAGCAGTGGAGACCTCAGGTCTAAATTGGAGGGTTAGGCATGGCAGAGTAAGCTTCAAAGTCTATGGTTTCATTTGCCTGAGCTACTGAGTTTAGTGCTTGGTGCAGCACTGTGACCTGTCCTGTGTGTTTCAAGTGGGATGCCTTTAATTTGTGCAGCAGTTGTATCATGGTATTCAATATGACTGGTAGCCGGTTTACGTGTGAGCTGGTGAAATACATTGTGTAATAATTATGTGTGTTTATAGCCAACTTGTCATGCTTGATTACTTCCGTCAACGACAAGCTGCATTTCTGGTGGCAAATGTTGGCTTTGGCATGTCTAGAACTTTCATTTGCATTTACTGCGTGCACATATTTATGCATTTTGCCAGGACTGTTTATTCAAATGGGACAGTGAAGGACATTCGTTTCATTTTCACTGGCACAGGAATGAAGTAACTGGGAAACCCGATTGCAGTGAGGTTGACACCTCGTCTGACTAACATGGGTCTAATGTTTTTCTTCTTGCCTCCTACAACTGTGTGTCGATGTTTGACTGCTTATCTACTTCCATGTTATATTTGTTTGCTTTTTAAGACATGTACAATGATGCAAAATATCTTATTTGTGTGATGTAGATGATGAAGATTGCCGACAGTTGATAAAGCAAGGAAAGAGAAGCAGACGATTGGTAGGTATATATAACTTAGTCAGTACTTGGAGCTATGTCATTTATTGTACACAATGAATGGTTTTTGTAGATAAATCTGGACAAAAGTCTACATACTGTATATAAAGTAGTCAAAGACAGTCTACATACTGTATATAAAGTAGACATAGACAGTCTACATACTGTATATAAAGTAGACATAGACAGTCTACATACTGTATATAAAGTAGACATAGACAGTCTACATACTGTATATAAAGTAGTCAAAGACAGTCTACATACTGTATATAAAGTAGACATAGACAGTCTACATAATGTATATAAGGTAGTCATAGACAGTCTACATACTGTATATAAAGTAGACATAGACAGTCTACATACTGTATATAAAGTAGACATAGACAGTCTACATACTGTATATAAAGTAGTCATAGACAGTCTACATACTGTAAATAAAGTAGTCATAGACAGTATTCATAGACAAATAGACAACAGTCTGGATATTGTATATAGGATGACTGGTACAAGATGACTGGTCTGTAAAATGGCTGGTACAACATGACTAGTCTGTAAGATGGCTGGTACAACATGACTGGTCTGTAAAATGGCTGGCACAACATGACTGGTCTACAAGATGGCTGGTACAACATGACTGGTCTGTAAAATGGCTGGCACAACATGACTGGTCTGTAAAATGGCTGGTACAACATGACTGGTCTGTAAAATGGCTGGCACAACATGACTGGTCTGTAAAATGGCTGGTACAACATGACTGGTCTGTAAAATGGCTGGTACAACATGACTGGTCTGTAAGATGGCTGGTACAACATGACTGGTCTGTAAAATGGCTGGCACAACATGACATGTCTGTAACATGACTGGCACAACATGACTGGTCTACAAGATGGCTTGTACAACATGACTAGTCTGTAAGATGGCTGGTACAACATGACTGGTCTGTAAAATGGCTGGTACAACATGACTGGTCTGTAAGATGGCTAGTACAACATGACTGGTCTGTAAAATGGCTGGTACAAGATGACTGTTCTGTAAAATGGCTGGTACAAGATGACTGGTCTGTAAAATGGCTGGTACAAGATGACTGGTCTGTAAAATGGCTGGTACAAGATGACTGGTCTGTAAAATGGCTGGTACAACATGACATGTCTGTAAGATGACTAATAAAACATGACATGTCTGTAAGATGACTGATAAAACATGACATGTCTACAAGATGACTGATAAAACATGACATGTCTGTAAGATGACTGGTACAACATGACATGTCTGTAAGATGACTGGTACAACATGACTGGTCTACAAGATTACGGTACAACATGACTGGACTACACAATTACAGTACAACGTGACATGTTTGTAAGAAAGCTGGTACAACATGACATGTATGTAAGATTACTAATGCAAGGTGACTGGTCTACGAGATGATGGTACAACATGACATGTTTGTAAGAAAGCTGGTACATGACATGTCTGTAAGATGACTGCTACAGCATGACTGGTCTGTAAGATGACTGGTACAGCATGACTGGTCTACAAGAATACTGGTACAACATGACTGGTCTAAAAGATGACTGGTCTACAAGATGACTGGTACAACATGACTAGTCTGTAAGATGGCTGGTACAACATGACTGGTCTAAAAGATCACTGGTCTACAAGATGACTGGTACAACATGACTGGTCTGTAAGATGGCTGGTACAACATGACATGTCTACAAGATGACTGTTACAGCATGACTAGTCTACAAGAATACTGGTACAACATGACTGGTCTGTAAGATTACTGGTACAACATGCCTAGTCTTAAGATGACTGGTACAACTTGACTGATCTATAAAATGACTGGTACAACTTGACTGATCTATAAAATGACTGGTACAACAAGAGAGGTCTTTGAGATGACTGGAGACACTCCTAAAACAGTTAAGTTTATCACAAGAACCTGTCTGTCAGTGTAAATCAGAAAGCAAACAAAAGAAGGAGACGAAGAATATGACTGGTACAGCATGACTGATCTATAAAATGACGTACAACATTTCCAGTATAGTTTGTTCAATGAACACTGTCCTGTAGGTGATCAGCGATGATGAAGAGGAGAAAGAAAATTTTGAAGTTGTCAATAAGCGGGTTAGCCGCTTCTGTCAGCGAGGACACAAAAACATCTGACCCTGATCCAGTTAGGGAAAGAGTCGACCCTACAGGCAACAGTGGGGTAGATGCCACGGCTGCTCTGTACACCACAACAGCAGATAGTGATACTGAGAGTGTGGAGTATGATCTTGCTGCAGATGTTGAGACAGCTGTCGGGCAGAGTCAGTTGTCCACCTCCACTCCTGCAGGCTGCAGTCTGCTAGTGCCTTTGACCAGCAGCGACATCTTTGATGATGACGTCATCAGTGATGGAGGTGACTCTAGCGGCGAGGATAGTTGTACAGGTGAGGTTTTTTGACAGTGTGTACATGTGTAACCCAACTTGACTGTGTGGTTCTATTTGGTTGACAAGTGTGAACATGTGTAACCCAACTTGACTGCGGTTCTATTTGGTTGACAAGTGTGAACATGTGTAACCCAACTTGACTGCGGTTCTATTTGGTTGACAAGTGTGAACATCTGTAACCCAACTTGACTGCGGTTCTATTCAGTTGACAAGTGTGAACATGTGTAACCCAACTTGACTGTGCAGTTCTATTTGGTTGTCAAGTGAATATGTTTTGTGGCCTAACGGGCTGTACATTTTGGCAGAAAGTTCTGGTTCTTAATCCACTTTTGGATTTTCGCCATCTTCTAAAACTTGATGTTTTAGTTTGTATGATGCAAACTGTTGGTTCCTTGGATCTCAAGCAGAGGCATTCTGAATTTTGAAGAAAACAGCCTCAGTTAGTTGACTTTTACCATGTGCTTGTTAGGGGTCAGACATCCCCCCCCCCCCCCTCCCACAACCCCCACCTGGTTCTCCTCCCCTGGTTCCCCCCCCCCCCTCCCACAACCCCTGGTCCCCTGTCTTTTATATGTAAAATTACACAAACATTGATATAAATTAATCCTATGTCAAAAATATGCTGAGATATGATTATCTTTGAAGGTGTAATCACAAACACTGCATGTAACATAATCACAAACACAACCTGCAACATGATCACAAACATTACATGCAGCATAATCACAAACACTACATGCAGCATAATCACAAACACTACATGCAGCATAATCACAAACACTACATGCAACATAATCACAAACACTACATGCAGAATAATTACAAAAACTACATGCAGCATAATCACAAACACTACATGCAGCATAATCACAAACACTACATGCAGCATAATCACAAACACTACATGCAGCATAATCACAAACACTACATGCAGCATAATCACAAACACTACATGCAGCATAATCACAAAGACTACATGCAGCATAATCACAAACACTGCATGCAACATAATCACAAACACTGCATGTAACATAATCACAAACACAACCTGCAACATAATCACAAACACTGCATGTAACATAATCACAATCACAACCTGCAACATGATCACAAACACTACATGCAACATAATCACAAGCACTACATGCAGAATAATTACAAACACTACATGCAACATAATCACAAACACTACATGCAGCATAATCACAAACACTACATGCAACATAATCACAAACACAACCTGCAACATAATCACAAACACTGCATGTAACATAATCACAAACACAACCTGCAACATGATCACAAACACTACATGCAGCATAATCACAAACACTACATGCAGCATAATCACAAACACTACATGCAACATAATCACAAACACTACATGCAGAATAATTACAAAAACTACATGCAGCATAATCACAAACACTACATGCAGCATAATCACAAACACTACATGCAGCATAATCACAAACACTACATGCAGCATAATCACAAACACTACATGCAGCATAATCACAAACACTACATGCAGCATAATCACAAACACTACATGCAGCATAATCACAAACACTACATGCAGCATAATCACAAACACTACATGCAACATAATCACAAACACTACATGTAACATAATCACAAACACTACATGCAGAATAATTACAAAAACTACATGCAGCATAATCACAAACACTGCATGTAACATAATCACAAACACAACCTGCAATATAATCACAAACACTGCATGTAACATAATCACAATCACAACCTGCAACATGATCACAAACACTACATGCAACATAATCACAAGCACTACATGCAGAATAATTACAAACACTACATGCAACATAATCACAAACACTACATGCAGCATAATCACAAACACTACATGCAACATAATCACAAACACTACATGCAGCTTTGTCCCAACATTCTCTTGCTACCACATCAGCCTTCTACCTCAACATCTCTGGACTTGTTTCTGTATGTAGAGTCTATGGCAGTACTTGTTTCTTTATGTAGAGTCTATGGCAGTGCTTGTTTCTGTATGTAGAGTCTATGGCAGTGCTTGTTTCTGTATGTAGAGTGTATGGCAGTACTTGTTTCTGTATGTAGAGTCTATGGCAGTACTTGTTTCTGTATGTAGAGTCTATAGCAGTACTTGTTTCTATATGTAGAGTCTATAGCAGTGCTTGTTTCTGTATGTAGAATGTATGTCAGTGCTTGTTTCTGTATGTAGAGTATGGCAGTACATGTTTCTGTATGTAGAGTGTATGACAGTACATGTTTTTGTATGTAGTGTATGGCAGTACTTGTTTCTGTATGTAGAGTGTATGGCAGTACTTGTTTCTGTATGTAGAGTGTATGGCAGTACTTATTTCTGTATGTAGAGTCTATGTCAGTGCTTGTTTCTGCATGTAGAATGTATGTCAGTGCTTGTTTCTGTATGTAGAGTGTATGTCAGTGCTTGTTTTTGTATGTAAAGTGTATGGCAGTACTTGTTTCTGTATGTAGAGTATGTCAGTGCTTGTTTCTGTATGTAGAGTGTATGGCAGTGCTTGTTTTTGTATGTAGAGTATGTCAGTGCTTGTTTCTGTATGTAGAGTGTATGGCAGTGCTTGTTTCTGTATGTAAAGTGTATGGCAGTACATGTTTCTGTATGTAGAGTGTATGGCAGTACTTGTTTCTGTATGTAGAGTCTATGGCAGTGCTTGTTTCTGTATGTAGAGTCTATGGCAGTACTTGTTTCTGTATGTAAAGTGTATGGCAGTACATGTTTCTGTATGTAGAGTGTATGGCAGTACTTGTTTCTGAATGTAGAGTCTATGGCAGTACTTGTTTCTGTATGTAGAGTCTATAGCAGTACTTGTTTCTATATGTAGAGTCTATAGCAGTGCTTGTTTCTGTATGTAGAATGTATGTCAGTGCTTGTTTCTGTATGTAGAGTATGGCAGTACATGTTTCTGTATGTAGAGTGTATGACAGTACATGTTTTTGTATGTAGTGTATGGCAGTACTTGTTTCTGTATGTAGAGTCTATGGCATTACTTGTTTCTGTATGTAGAGTCTATGGCAGTACATGTTTCTGTATGTAGAGTGTATGACAGTGCTTGTTTCTGTATATAGAGTGTATGGCAGTACTTGTTTCTGTATGTAGAGTGTATGGCAGTACTTATTTCTGTATGTAGAGTGTATGGCAGTACTTGTTTCTGCATGTAGAATGTATGTCAGTGCTTGTTTCTGTATGTAGAGTGTATGACAGTGCTTGTTTCTGTATATAGAGTGTATGGCAGTACTTGTTTCTGTATGTAGAGTGTATGGCAGTACTTATTTCTGTATGTAGAGTTTATGTCAGTGCTTGTTTCTGCATGTAGAATGTATGTCAGTGCTTGTTTCTGTATGTAGAGTGTATGTCAGTGCTTGTTTTTGTATGTAAAGTGTTTGGCAGTACTTGTTTCTGTATGTAGAGTATGTCAGTGCTTGTTTCTGTATGTAGAGTGTATGGCAGTGCTTGTTTCTGTATGTAAAGTGTATGGCAGTACATGTTTCTGTATGTAGAGTGTATGGCAGTACTTGTTTCTGTATGTAGAGTATGTCAGTGCTTGTTTCTGTATGTAGAGTGTATGGCAGTGCTTGTTTCTGTATGTAAAGTGTATGGCAGTACATGTTTCTGTATGTAGAGTGTATGGCAGTACTTGTTTCTGTATGTAGAGTATGTCAGTGCTTGTTTCTGTATGTAGAGTGTATGGCAGTGCTTGTTTCTGCATGTAGAGTGTATGGCAGTGCTTGTTTCTGTATGTAAAGTGTATGGCAGTACATGTTTTTGTATGAAGAGTGTATGGCAGTACTTGTTTCTGTATGTAGAGTGTATGTCTGTGCTTGTTTCTTTATGTAGAGTCTATGGCAGTACTTGTTTCTGCATGAAGAGTGTATGTCAGTGCTTGTTTCTGGATGAAGAGTCTATGGCAGTACATGTTTCTGTATGTAGAGTCTATGGCAGTATTTGTTTTTGTATGTAGAATGTATGGCAGTACTTGGTTTTTGTATGTAAAGTGTATGGCAGCATTTGTTTTATATGTAGAGTGTATTGCAGTATTTGTTTTCTGTGTAGAGTGTATGGCAGTACTTGTTTCTGTATGTAGAGTCCATGGCAGTACTTGTTTCTATATGTAGAGTCTATAGCAGTGCTTGTTTCTGAATGTAGAGTGTATGGCAGTACTTGTTTTTGTTTGTAGAGTCTATGGCAGTACTTGTTTCTATATGTAGAGTCTATAGCAGTACTTGTTTCTATATGTAGAGTCTATAGCAGTGCTTGTTTCTGTATGTAGAATGTATGTCAGTGCTTGTTTCTGAATGTAGAGTCTATGGCAGTACTTGTTTCTGTATGTAGAGTCTATGGCAGTACTTGTTTCTGTATGTAGAGTGTATGTCAGTGCTTGTTTCTGTATGTAGAGTGTATGTCAGTGCTTGTTTCTGTGTGTAGAGTGTATGGCAGTACTTGTTTTTGTATGTAGACTGTATGACATTGCTTGTTTCTATATATATAGAGTATATGGTAGTACTTGATTCTCTATGTAGAGCATATGGCAGTACATATTTCATAAGTAGAGTGTATGGCAGTACTTGTTTCTGTATGTAGAGTGTATGGCAGTGCTTGTTTCTGTATGTAAAGTGTATGGCAGTGCTTGTTTCTGTATGTAGAGTGTATGGCAGTGCTTGTTTCTGTATGTAGAGTGTATGGCAGTGCTTGTTTCTGTATGTAGAGTGTATGGCAGTACATGTTTCTGTATGTAAAGTGTATGGCAGTACTTGTTTCTGTATGTAGAGTGTATGGCAGTGCTTGTTTCTGTATGTAGAGTGTATGGCAGTGCTTGTTTCTGTATGTAGAGTGTATGGCAGTGCTTGTTTCTGTATGTAGAGTGTATGGCAGTACATGTTTCTGTATGTAAAGTGTATGGCAGTGCTTGTTTCTGTATGTAAAGTGTATGGCAGTACATGTTTCTGTATGTAGAGTATGTCAGTGCTTGTTTCTGTATGTAGAGTGTATGGCAGTGCTTGTTTCTGTATGTAAAGTGTATGGCAGTGCTTGTTTCTGTATGTAAAGTGTATGGCAGTACTTGTTTCTGTATGTAGAGTATGTCAGTGCTTGTTTCTGTATGTAGAGTGTATGGCAGTGCTTGTTTCTGTATGTAAAGTGTATGGCAGTACATGTTTTTGTATGAAGAGTCTATGGCAGTAAATGTTTTTGTATGTAGAGTGTATGGCAGTACTTGTTTCTGTATGTAGAGTGTATGTCTGTGCTTGTTTCTTTATGTAGAGTCTATGGCAGTACTTGTTTCTGCATGAAGAGTGTATGTCAGTGCTTGTTTCTGGATGAAGAGTCTATGGCAGTACATGTTTCTGTATGTAGAGTCTATGGCAGTATTTGTTTTTGTATGTAGAATGTATGGCAGTACTTGGTTTTTGTATGTAAAGTGTTTGGCAGCATTTGTTTTTTTTGTAGAGTGTATTGCAGTATTTGTTTTCTGTGTAGAGTGTATGGCAGTACTTGTTTCTGTATGTAGAGTCCATGGCAGTACTTGTTTCTGAATGTAGAGTGTATGGCAGTACTTGTTTCTGAATGTAGAGTGTATGGCAGTACTTGTTTTTGTTTGTAGAGTCTATGGCAGTACTTGTTTCTATATGTAGAGTCTATAGCAGTACTTGTTTCTATATGTAGAGTCTATAGCAGTGCTTGTTTCTGTATGTAGAATGTATGTCAGTGCTTGTTTCTGAATGTAGAGTCTATGGCAGTACTTGTTTCTGTATGTAGAGTCTATGGCAGTACTTGTTTCTGTATGTAGAGTGTATGTCAGTGCTTGTTTCTGTATGTAGAGTGTATGTCAGTGCTTGTTTCTGTGTGTAGAGTGTATGGCAGTACTTGTTTTTGTATGTAGACTGTATGACATTGCTTGTTTCTATATATATAGAGTATATGGTAGTACTTGATTCTCTATGTTGAGCATATGGCAGTACATATTTCATAAGTAGAATGAATGGCAGTACATGTTTCTTTATGTAGAATGTTGCAGAATTGTCTGTTTTTTATGTATTGATGGGATTTATGAAACAAAAATGAAAATGATGTATTAATATGTGGACATCTGCAGATGTCAGAGATAACAGGTCAAATGACGCCCCAGACTCTAATGGCAATGAGAAGGATAACGGATTTGATGAGAGTCAAGTTGACCCGACACTGATGGCTAAGTTAAAGCGCATGAAAGTGAGTGTTAGACGTCCATACACTAGTATTATTTGTAAGCTGTGTCCGTTGTAGATTGTGTGTGTCAGTCATAGACTGCTCTTGTCATGTGTTGATTGTGTGTGTCAGTCATATAGACTGCTCTTGTCATGTGTTGACTGCTTTATTAGTTTTGTGTTCTAAATGTTATGTTGAACTTGGGACAGTCTTGTGAAGTTTTATGATGAACTTGGGACAGTGACTTGTGAAATTTTATGATGAACTTGGGACAATGGCATGTAAAGTTTTATGATGAACTTGGGACAATGGCATGTAAAGTTTTATGATGAACTTGGGACAATGGCATGTAAAGTTTTATAATGAACTTGGGACAATGGGCATGTAAAGTTTTATGATGAACTTGGGACAATGGCTTGTAAAGTTTTATGTGGAATGTGTGACAGGGACATTTGAAGGTCCATGTTGAACTGAAAGCAGTGTTGCTGTTTCTGTGACACAGATTGATACTTGTGTTTGCAGGGAGCCTCCAAGTGTGGACAGGGCAGGCAGAAGTATTCCAGGAGGGCTAAACCCAAGGCTGAGGAAATGATGGAGATTTATAGCGAGTCACAGAGACTGCTGCGAGGTACTACCATGTTGTTTAGTGACTTACTGTTTGTGTGTAACTTGAATTCTATTAAATTTAGTGCCAAATTCAGTGTACGGTTGATGTGTATGTGGCAAGATTCTGTTTAGTTTGCCATCATTTCCATGACAACAGGTTTAGGTGATCTTTGTGTGTGTGTGTGTGTCACGACACAGTAGGAAAAACATTTCAGACTCCATACAAGTATTCCAGCCTGAAAACTCTGCATTCTCACATTGCACACAAATGACTGGAGCCACACGATGTTAACTAGTCAGCTGGAACCAGACAGTCGAAACTAAACAAGAGCCACATAGTGGGAACTGTACAACCATAGAAGCCCACACAGTCTAGAAACTGTACAACCATAGAAGCCCACACAGTCTAGAAACTGTACAACCATAGAAGCCCAAACAGTCTAGAAACTGTACAACCATAGAAGCCCAAACAGTCTAGAAACTACAACCATAGAAGCCCACAGTCTAGAAACTGTACAACCATAGAAGCCCAAACAGTCTAGGAACTGTAAAACCATAGAAGCCCGCAGTCTAGGAACTGTACAACCATAGAAGCCCGCACAGTCTAGAAACTGTACAACCATAGAAGCCCACACAGTCTAGAAACTGTACAACCATAGAAGTCCACACAGTCTAGGAACTGTAAAACCATAGAAGCCCACACAGTCTAGAAACTGTACAACCATAGAAGTCCACACAGTCTAGGAACTGTAAAACTATAGAAGCCCACACAGTCTAAAAACTGTACAACCATAGAAGTCCACACATTCTAGAAACTGTACAACCATAGAAGTCCACACAGTCTAGGAACTGTAAAACCATAGAAGTCCACACATTCTAGAAACTGTACAACCATAGAAGCCCACACAGTCTAGAAACTGTAAAACCATAGAAGTCCACACAGTCTAGGAACTGTAAAACTATAGAAGCCCACACAGTCTAAAAACTGTACAACCATAGAAGTCCACACATTCTAGAAACTGTACAACCATAGAAGTCCACACAGTCTAGGAACTGTAAAACCATAGAAGTCCACACATTCTAGAAACTGTACAACCATAGAAGTCCACACAGTCTAGGAACTGTACAACCATAGAAGCCCACACAGTCTAGGAACTGTACAACCATAGAAGCCCACACAGTCTAGAAACTGTACAACCATAGAAGCCCACACATTCTAGAAACTGTAAAACCATAGAAGCCCACACATTCTAGAAACTGTACAACCATAGAAGTCCACACAGTCTAGGAACTGTACAACTATAGACGCCCACACATTCTAGAAACTGTACAACCATAGAAGTCCACACAGTCTAGGAACTGTAAAACCATAGAAGTCCACACATTCTAGAAACTGTACAACCATAGAAGTCCACACAGTCTAGGAACTGTACAACCATAGAAGCCCACACATTCTAGAAACTGTAAAACCATAGAAGCCCACACAGTCTAGAAACTGTACAACCATAGAAGCCCACACAGTCTAGAAACTGTACAACCATAGAAGTCCACACAGTCTAGGAACTGTAAAACCATAGAAGCCCACACAGTCTAGAAACTGTACAACCATAGAAGCCCACACAGTCTAGAAACTGTACAACCATAGAAGTCCACACAGTCTAGAAACTGTACAACCATAGAAGCCCAAACAGTCTAGGAACTGTAAAACCATAGAAGCCCGCTGTCTAGGAACTGTACAACCATAGAAGCCCACACAGTCTAGAAACTGTACAACCATAGAAGCCCACACAGTCTAGAAACTGTACAACCATAGAAGCCCACACAGTCTAGAAACTGTACAACCATAGAAGCCCACACAGTCTAGAAACTGTACAACCATAGAAGCCCAAACAGTCTAGGAACTGTAAAACCATAGAAGCCCACACAGTCTAGAAACTGTACAATCATAGAAGTCCACACATTCTAGAAACTGTACAACCATAGAAGTCCAAACAATCTAGAAACTGTACAACCATAGAAGCCCACACATTCTAGGAACTGTACAACCATAGAAGCCCACACAGTCTAGAAACTGTACAAACATAGAAGCCCACACAGTCTAGAAACTGTACAACCATAGAAGTCCACACAGTCTAGAAACTGTACAACCATAGAAGTCCACACATTCTAGAAACTGTACAACCATAGAAGTCCACACAGTCTAGAAACTGTACAACCATAGAAGCCCACACAGTCTAGGAACTGTACAACCATAGAAGCCCACATATTCTAGGAACTGTACAACCATAGAAGCCCACACATTCTAGGAACTGTACAACCATAGAAGCCCACACAGTCTAGGAACTGTACAACCATAGAAGACCACACAGTCTAGGAACTGTAAAACCATAGAAGTCCACACATTCTAGAAACTGTACAGCCATAGAAGTCCACACAGTCTGGGAACTGTACAACCATAGACGCCCACACATTCTAGAAACTGTACAACCATAGAAGCCCAAACAGTCTAGGAACTGTAAAACCATAGAAGTCCACACATTCTAGAAACTGTACAACCATAGAAGTCCACACATTCTAGGAACTGTACAACCATAGAAGTCCACACAATCTAGGAACTGTACAACCATAGAAGCCCACACAGTCTAGGAACTGTACAACCATAGAAGCCCACACAGTCTAGGAACTGTACAACTATAGAAGCCCGACAGTCTAGGAACTGTACAACCATAGAAGCACACACAGTCTGGGAACCAAGTCTGCCAAAATATGTTCGGGAAAAGTACCAAATGTTTTTTGAAAAAGTACCAAAACACAGCTGCTAACTGTTCCCCCACCCCCTTAGAAGTATCATTTTTTTCATTTTCTGAGCGAACATTCACATTTGTTTTCTAGCTCATATTGGAAATGTTCAAACAGCAATTTAAATAAAATTACCCAGTAACAACGATAAACATAATAACACAATGTCACAAAATAATTTAAAATAAAACTGAATCACAAAAGCTTGAGCGGGAAATAAATTGGACAGTGGCAACTAAACAACTAGAAGAGCTAGACAGTGGGAACTACACTGGAGGTGCACACAGTGGGAACTAGACAATAGGAGCCAGATAGTGAGAACTAGACAACAGGAGCCAGAAACTGGGAACTAAACAACTGGAGGAGCCAGACAGATGGAACTAAAAAAACTAGACTAGCCAAAAAGTGGAAACTTTAGGAGCCAGACAGTGAGAACTAAACAGGAGCCAGACACTGGGAACTAAACAACCATAGTAGCTAAACAGTGGAAACTAAACTGGAGGAGCCACGCAGTAGGAACTAGACAACAAGGAGCCAGACAGAGGGAACTAAACAACTAGAGGAGCTAGACTGTGGGAACTACAATGGAGGAGTTGCAGGGGGAACTAGACAATTGGAGCCAGACAGTGAGAGCTAGATAACAGGAGCCAGACTGATGAAACTAAACAGCTGGACTAGCCAAACAGGGGAACTAAACAACTATGAGCCAAACAATGAGAAATAAACAACTATATGAGCCCAGCCATGGGAACTAGACAACTGTATGGCCAAACAGTGGGAACTAAAAAATTGTAAAAGCCAGACATGTCAGCCTACTCTACCACATGTGGACAAGTTATGTCTTGCAGACTCTAGAGTCAGCCTACCCTACAATGTGTTAACAACAAGTTATGTCTTGCAGACTCTAGGGTCAGCCTACCCTACAATGTGTTGACAACAAGTTATGTCCTGTAGACTCTTAGAGTCAGCCTACCCTACAACATGTTGACAACAAGTTATGTCCTGTAGACTCTAGAGTCAGCCTACCCTACAACATGTTGCCAAGTTATGTCCTGTAGACTCTTAGAGTCAGCCTACCCTACAACATGTTGACAAGTTATGTCCTGTAGACTCTAGAGTCAGCCTACCCTATCACGTGTTGGCAAGTTGTGTCTTGTAGAAAGTCAGCCTACTCTACAACATGTGGACAAGTTATGTCTTGCAGACTCTAGGGTCAGCCTACTCTACAACATGTTGACAAGTTATGTCCTTTAGACTCTAGAGTCAGCCTACCCTACAATGTGTTGACAACAAGTTATGTCTTGCAGACTCTAGGGTCAGCCTACCCTACAATGTGTTGACAACAAGTTATGTTCTGTAGACTCTAGAGTCAGCCTACCCTACAATGTGTTGACAACAAGTTATGTCTTGCAGACTCTAGAGTCAGCCTACCCTACAATGTGTTGACAGCAAGTTATGTCTTGCAGACTCTAGGGTCAGCCTACCCTACAATGTGTTGACAACAAGTTATGTCCTGTAGACTCTAGAGTGAGCCTACCCTACAATGTGTTGACAACAAGTTATGCCTTGCAGACTCTAGGGTCAGCCTACCCTACCACCAGCCTCAGCCTAAGCTTCTGGACGACTTCCTGGCCCGGGCAGCACAGAAGAAACAAGTGTATGCTGGTTTACAGAAGGCCAGAGATATACAGTAAGTGTATGCTGGTTTACAGAAGGCCAGAGATATACAGTAAGTGTGTGCTGGTTTACAGAAAGCTAAAGATATACAGTAAGTGTATGCTGGTTTACAGAAGGCCAGAGATATACAGTAAATATGTGCTGGTTTACAGAAGGTTAGAGATATACAGTAAGTGTATGCTGGTTTACAGAAGGCTAGAGATATACAGTAAGTGTATGCTGGTTTACAGAAGGCCAGAGATATACAGTAAGTGTGTGCTGGTTTACAGAAAGCTAAAGATATACAGTAAGTGTATGCTGGTTTACAGAAGGCCAGAGATATACAGTAAATGTGTGCTGGTTTACAGAAGGCTAGAGATATACAGTAAGTGTATGCTGGTTTACAGAATGCCAGAGATATACAGTAAGTGTATGCTGGTTTACAGAAGGCCAGAGATATACAGTAAGTGTGTGTTGGTTTACAGAAAGCTAAAGATATACAGTAAGTGTATGCTGGTTTACAGAAGGCCAGAGATATACAGTAAGTGTGTGCTGGTTTACAGAAAGCTAAAGATATACAGTAAGTGTATGCTGGTTTACAGAAGGCCAGAGATATACAGTAAGTGTGTGCTGGTTTACAGAAAGCTAAAGATATACAGTAAGTGTATGCTGGTTTACAGAAGGCCAGAGATATACAGTAAGTGTGTGCTGGTTTACAGAAAGCTAAAGATATACAGTAAGTGTATGCTGGTTTATAGAAGGCCAGAGATATACAGTAAGTGTGTGCTGGTTTACAGAAGGCCAGAGATATACAGTAAGTGTATGCTGGTTTACAGAAGGCTAGAGATATACAGTAAGTGTATGCTGGTTTACAGAAGGCCAGAGATATACAGTAAGTGTATGCTGGTTTACAGAAAGCTAAAGATATACAGTAAGTGTATGCTGGTTTACAGAAGGTTAGATATACAGTAAGTGTATGCTGGTTTACAGAAGGTTAGAGATATACAGTAAGTGTATGCTGGTTTACAGAAGGCCAGAGATATACAGTAAGTGTGCTGTTTTACAGAAGGCCAGAGATATACAATGTGTTGTTCTTAGTCCATGCTGCTGTTGGTTGTTAGTCCATTCTGTTGTTGGTGGTGATGTTTTAGTCCATGCTGTTGTTGGTGGCAGTGATGTTTTAGTCCTTGCTGTTGTTGTTGGTGATGTTGTTAGCTCATGCTGCTTGTGGCAGTGATGATGTTAGTCAATGCTGTTGTTGGTAGTATGTTGTTAGCCCATGCTGCTGTTGGTAGTGATGTTTTAGTCCATGCTGTTAGTGGTGGTGATGTTTTAGTCCATGCTATTGGTGGTGGTGATGTTTTAGTCCATGCTGTTGGTGGTGGTGATGTTTTAGTCCATGCTGTTGGTGGTGGTGATGTTTTAGTCCATGCTGTTGGTGGTGGTGATGCTTTAGTCCATGCTGTTATTGGTGGTGGTGATGTTTTAGTCCATGCTGTTATTGGTGGTGGTGATGCTTTAGTCTGTGATGTTGGTGGTGGTGATGTTTTAGTCCATGCTGTTATTGGTGGTGGTGGTGTTTTAGTCCATGCTGTTGTTGCTGGTGGTGATGTTTTAGTCCATGCTGTTGGTGGTGGTGTTTTAGTCCATGTTGTTGTTGTTGGTGGTGTTAGTCCATGCTGTTGTTGGTGGTGGTGATGTTTTAGTTCATGCTGTTGTTGGTGGTGTTAGTCCATGCTGTTGTTGGTGGTGTTAGTCCATGCTGTTGTTGGTGGTGGTGATGTTTTAGTCCATACTGTTGTTGGTGGTGATGTTTTAGTCCATGCTGTTATTGGTGGTGTTGATGTTTTAGTCCATGCTGTTATTGGTGGTGGTGATGTTTTAGTCCATGCTGTTGGTGGTGGTGATGTTTTAGTCCATGCTGTTATTGGTGGTGGTGGTGTTTTAGTCCATGCTGTTATTGGTGGTGGTGGTGTTTTAGTCCATGCTATTGGTGGTGATGTTTTAGTCCATGCTGTTAGTGGTGGTGTTTTAGTCCATGCTATTGGTGGTGATGTTGTTAGTCCATGCTGTTATTGGTGGTGGTGGTGTTTTAGTCCATGCTGTTGGTGGTGGTGTTTTAGTCCATGCTGTTGGTGGTGGTAATTTTTTAGTCCATGCTGTTATTGGTGGTGTTGGTGTTTTAGTCCATGCTGTTGGTGGTGGTAATTTTTTAGTCCATGCTGTTATTGGTGGTGGTGATATTTTAGTCCATGCTGTTATTGGTGGTGGTGATGTTTTAGTCCATGCTGTTGGTGGTGGTAGTGGTGTTTTAGTCCATGCTGTTGGTGGTGGTAGTGGTGTTTTAGTCCATGCTGTTGGTGGTGGTGGTGTTTTAGTTCATGCTGTTGTTGGTGGTGGTGATGTTTTAGTCCATGCTGTTGGTGGTGGTGGTGGTGTTTTAGTCCATGCTGTTGGTGGTGGTGTTTTAGTCCATGCTGTTGTTGGTGGTGGTGGTGTTTTAGTCCATGCTGTTGTTGTTGTTGGTGGTGTTTTAGTCCATGCTGTTGTTTTTGGTGGTGTTAGTCCATGCTGAAATTGGTGGTGGTGATGTTTTAGTCCATGCTGTTATTGGTGGTGGTGATGTTTTAGTCCATGCTGTTGTTGGTGATGTTGTTAGTCTATGCTGTTTTTAGTGGTGATGTTGTTAGCCCATGCTGTTGTTGGTGGTGTTGTTGTTATAGTGCTTGCTGTTGTTGGTGGTAATGTTGTTAGTCCATGCTGTTGTTGGTGGTGTTTTTAGTCTATGCTGTTGGTGGTGATTATGTTTTTGACATTCTCTTTTGTTGTTGAATTATTTTATCTTTCTTCTTCTTCTCCCTAACCTATCAAATAGTAATATTTACTAATGAGTAAATCTTAAATTTCTAATAATTTCATTGTTTTTCAAAGTGTGGTACAGTCCAGGCAAACTATCCGGGTTATCAGTTAGGCTCTGTAATCAGTTTTGTGTTTTTGGAATGACAGAAAGTCGGCTGAATGACAGAATTAGTGACAACAAAGTCACCATTAGTCAGTTTTCAGTTATTGGCAAAGATGCACTCAGAAAATTAGAGACAGGCATAACAAAGATGCACTCAGAAAATTAAAGACAGGCAGAACAAAGATGCACTCAGAAAATTAGAGACAGGCAGAACAAAGATGCACTCAGAAAATTAGAGACAGGCAGAACAAAGATGCACTCAGAAAATTAGAGACAGGCAGAACAAAGATGCACTCAGAAAATTAGAGACAGGCAGAACAAAGATGCACTCAGAAAATTAGAGACAGGCAGAACAAAGATGCACTCAGAAAATTAGAGACAGGCAGAACAAAGATGCACTCAGAAAATTAGAGACAGGCAGAACAAAGATGCACTCAGAAAATTAGAGACAGGCACAACAGTTTATATTTCAAATTCTCTCCAGTATTCTCGTAAATGTATTCAAGTATCTGAAGCTACTGACTATGTCTGGCTGATAGTCAATCCTTTAAACCAGCAGTCACTTTTCATTGGTTACCTGTATCGAAATTCTTCTGCAGGCAATGAAGGCTTTACTTCTAAGATGGACAACGTTTTTAGTGTAGGGAAAGAAATTATACTTCTTCGCGATTTCAACATGGACACAAATAAACCCAACTAGACATGGTGTCACATACCGCTCGTGTCGCGTGCCTGATTTAAGGATTTCTCCTTAAGAACCAACAGCACTCTGAAATAGTAATGTTGAGGCGTTGGCTCGTATTGGTCTAAGGGAGATCCCGCGGCCAATATACGCCCAGCTTATTTCAGGAGTAGGGCAACTCAAGCTCTGGCACTACAGAATATGGAGTATTCCTAGGCACACTTGGCTGGACACCCCCACTAATTTAAAAAGGTAGCCCCCAGGTTATGATAGTATACTATCATAACCATGTTAACACAGATTCCACTCACTAATCACGCAAACATAAAAGCTAGACAGTTAGAATGGTGAAACAGGGACACCCAAGTCAGCCATGAAAATTTCTGAAAAAGGTTGTAATAATTTCAACATATATATATATAAATATCAAGACAATCAAGATGGTTTCCAGTGAATGGAGTCAGGGCTCAACCTTGAAACAGCCAATTAGTTCATAGAGTACATGAATCATCCATGTGAATCATAGGTAGCCATGTAAAGAGAGCATGTATGTCATCTCAGATGGTACGTATCCAATCTGGTAGGTCACTGCTTCCCTCAGGCCATGGTGATTTGAACCGGCTGACTTAATAGATCGCTTTTCCTCTGGTTGACCTGGTAAACACTCATCGTCTCACATATGAGGACAAAGGAACTGCACTGGAGCCCCACAAAGCTCCTGAAGAAGGCTTCCTTGGAATGATGACACAGGTGGCCTACAGTACTGTCTCTCAGCCACTGGAACTCACACACAAGCTCCTGAAGAAGGATTCCTTGGATTGATGACACAGGTGGCCTACAATACTGTCTCTCAGCCACTGGAACTCTCACACAAGCTCCTGCCATGTTGAAGTTCTGGCAACAATAGGTAGGGTTTTGGGTGGGTTTGGTGATAGGGATGGTATGGGTTGGTGATTGTTGGTTGGAATGTGATTCATCTGCCTGACTTCTAAGGAGATATCATCCCAAGCTTAGGAATCCTTCAAAGATTAAACTGGTATTTTGAAAGCGCCAATGTTTAATCAGAGAATTAAAAGGTCACCCGACACCTCAGAGGTCTGGCAAAAGAATGCCCGCCCCAGAGTCCGCTTGGCGTCTCTGGAAAAGAAGTCCTGTATTCGTGCCGTAGGAGTAAAAAGGCTTACAGGAATTTCTGAATAATATTCAAGAAATATTTATCCCACAGTTGCAAGTTTGAAAAATGTAGACTTCTCAAAACAACAAGAGGGTATAGAAATGTTTATTTCACCAGATAGAGATATATATTGATATGAAGGACTATATACCCCCCCCCCCCCCCCCCCCCCCACGGGTTTAAATTTGAAATGTGACGTGCCTGCTAAGGATGTCAGCGTCATGACTAGTCCACAATGTAGGGTTGGCTGTTCACTCCACGACACATGGGAAGATATAATTCTATCATATAATCTCAAACAGTTAATTAATTCTTCCACGAGAGTTGCAGAAACATCCTCAAATATAATCGATCATATCTATGTCACATGTCCAGTAAATATTATTGAATGTTCTGTCCCCACTGTCCCTCATTACCATTCATGCTACTGTTAGTCTGGGAGGACACGGAGGCCACGGGCAGTTTAAAAATATTTCAAATCCTTCAGAGAGGGAGAAATAGAAGTAGTCTGTGAATTACGAGGGTTGGGGGAGACTGTTAACTGAGACAGCTTAGCACATGATTTTCAAATTTTCATTTCTTACTTTGTTATATTTTACTTGAGCTCTTCATTGACAAGCTACCTATTGTTAATGTAAAAAAAAAGGCGCATCGGGCATATGGGAAGAGCACCCATATTTTTACAGACCAACGGCACTAGGTGGGAAATATGGTCAGCATTACGCCGGCCGTCTTTACTTTACCAGGACAGCCCATCCTGGTACTCATTTGAGGCTGGGTCGACCTGCGACATCCCATACCACGATAAAAATCCACGCAGCCCGCAGTGGGTTTCGATCGCGGTAGGTTGGATTACGAGTCGGACTTGCAACGCCTTACCCACGGACGCTGCTATTGTTAATGTAGTTGAACACAAAATATTAGGTGTTTTAATTGACAGCCATTTAACTTGGGGTTCCCATTTTCATGCCATGACCAAAAAGATAGCGCAAAAAAGTTCATTAACTTTGAAAAATGCAGCCTTTCTGGATGAAAATACATGTAAAATGTGTATGATATGTATGTGTGACATGTATGCATGTGTAGACATGTTTTTTTAAAATGTATGATTCTGTGTACAAATGCGTGTATATATGGGAGTGTGTGTGCATGTCTTTGTGTGCCTGCGTATGTGTATGTCTCTATGTGGACGTGTATCCGTGAGTTTGTGTGTGAGTCTATAGTGTCCGCATGCTTGTATGTGTGTGTGTTTGTGGGTGTGTCTATTTATATTTTTTTGTGTGTATGTGTGCATGTCAGTGTGTGTGTACGTGTATCTGTATGTGTAGCTGTTTGTGTTTGTGTGTGTTTGGATGTGTATATGTGTGTGGCTGAGTGTTTGTCTCTCTGTATTGTTGTTGCAAAATTGCTTTATGCTTGGTTTATTTTTGTTTGTAGAGCTGCTCTGTGATTGGTTTGTTGTTATTGTAGAGCTGCTCTGTGATTGGTTTGTTGTTATTGTAGAGCTGCTCTGTGATTGGTTTGTTGTTATTGTAGAGCTGCTCTGTGATTGGTTTGTTGTTATTGTAGAGCTGCTCTGTGATTTGTTTGTTGTTATTGTAGAGCTGCTCTGTGATTGGTTTGTTGTTATTGTAGAGCTGCATTCTGATTAGCCAGTGTTATTATATAGTTGCTCTATTATTTGTTCATTGTGATCTGATTTTGCCTTCTCTGATTTCTAACAGGAAAGCACGGGTCATCAGTGACAGATTATCAATATCGCCCACTCTCTTAACTTCTGATAAACACAGAGCAAAGTGTGCTTTTGTCCAATGTGAGCCACTTGGGAGCACTGCAGAAACTTCACCTAACTGCCAGCTGAAAACTCAAAATAACAAACATTCTTCAGTACCAGTGTCTTCATTTGAAGGCATCTCAAAATGTAAAGCTTTGCCTGTTGAGAAATCTGGCACAGATATTGTGGGAAATGAACAAAATGAGTTGCCAGATTTGTGTCTTGTGTCAGCTTCCTGTGAGCCGACAGGCTACTTATCTGGGCAAAAATTAGATATGAAATCAGCGGAAAAACATCATGCGGATACTGTGGTTTTAACAGATGACATTAGCCATACAAACAGTAACTATGCTCCACTTTTACGCAAAGATCCCTCTAGAGATTTGTTCAAGTCTCAGAACAGCATGATTGATGAGAACGAACGGCCTCAGAACATCATGACTGAGGAGAACGAACGGCCTCAGAACAGCATGACTGAGGGGAGCGAACAGCCTCAGAACAGCATGACTGAGGAGAGCGAACAGCCTCAGAACAGCATGACTGAGGAGAGCGAACAGTCACAGTCTGGCCGGCAGGTTCACATATGTGGGACAGCAGACTTTAACTGTACAGTTGAGAACAACATTAGAGATGGACATTTTAGTTGCATGTGTTTAGATGCTGGGGATTCTGCCACTGTTCATGAAACTGTGTCAGACTCTAGCACCATAGCAACGCCACTCAGCAGAGCTAGCAGACGCAAGCTGCTGGACAGACTGCAGGGGGTCAGTCTTGCAGCGTCTCCCAGTTTAAGTGCCACACCGGATGGTATCATCTGTCTAGATGATGCTGAGCCTGTATCGGTTGTCAAAGATGCTGGACTGTTGAAGTTGATGAATCGACTAGTCACACATTCCATGAAGACATCTGCCACCCCAGTTGCTGGCAGGTATGGTCTGTGTCTGTGTGTTTGGTCAAACTGCAAGTTATTTCCATGAGCTCATTTTGCCTGAGCAACCTTGACATCATTTGATGGGTACTGACCTACTTCCTTCCTCAATTTAGGGTGAAGTTGATGGCTACTGGCGAACATCTGTGAGAAAATGGTTCATTGACTTGTTGCCACAACTCATCACTGTCAATACACCTTGTAGCCACAACTCATCACTGTCATCACACCTTGTTGCCACAACTCATTACTGTCATCACATCTTGTTGCCACAACTCATCACTGTCATCACACCTTGTTGCCACAACTCATCACTGTCAACAGATAGTGTTGCCACAACTCATCACTGTCATCAGATATTGTTTGCCACAACTCATCACTGTCATCAGACCTTGTTGCCACAACTCACCACGTCATCAGCCTTGTTGCCACTACTCATCGCATCATCAGCCTTGTTGCCACAACTCATCACTGTCATCAGACCTTGTTGCCACAATTCGTCACTGTAATCACACCTTGCTGCCACAACTCATCACTGTCATAACACCTTGTTGCCACAACTCATCACTGTCATCACACATTGTTGCCACAACTCATCATGTCATCACACCTTGTTGCCACAACTCATCACTGTCATCACACATTGTTGCCACAACTCATCATGTCATCACACCTTGTTGCCACAAATCATCACTGTCATCAGACCTTGTTGCCACAACTCATCACTGTCATCAGACCTTGTTGACACAACTCATCACTGTCAATTGACCTTGTTGACAACTCATGATTGTCGTCAGATATTGTTTGCCACAACTCATCACTGTCATCACACATTATTGCCACAACTCATCACTGTCATCAGACCTTGTTGCCACAACTCATCACTGTCATCAGACCTTGTTGCCACAAATCACCACTGTCATCAGACCTTGTTGCCACAACTCTAGACTGTCATCACACCTTGTCACAACTCATCACTATCATCACACCTTGTTGCCACAACTCATCACTGTCATCAGACCTTGTTGCCACAACTCAACACTGTCATCAGATATTGTTGCCACAACTCATCACTATCATCAGACCTTGTTGCCACAAATCATCACTGTCATCAGACCTTGTTGCCACAACTCAGCACTGTCATCAGATATTGTTGCCACAACTCATCACTGTCATCAGACCTTGTTGCCACAACTCATCACTATCATCAGACCTTGTTGCCACAAATCATCACTGTCATCAGACCTTGTTGCCACAACTCAACACTGTCACCAGATATTGTTGCCACAACTCATCACTATCATCAGACATTGTTGCCACAAATCATCACTGTCATCAGACCTTGTTGCCACAACTCATCACTGTCATCAGACCTTGTTTGCCACAACTAATCACTGTCATCAGACCTTGTTGCCACAACTCATCACTGTCATCAGACCTTGTTGACACAACTCATCTCTGTCATCAGACCTTGTTGACACAACTCATCACTGTCATCAGACCTTGTTGCCACAACTCATCACTGTCATCAGACCTTGTTGACACAAATCATCACTGTCATCAGACCTTGTTGACACAACTCATCACTGTCATCAGACATTGTTGACACAACTCATCACTGTCATCAGACATTGTTGACACAACTCATCACTGTCATCAGACCTTGTTGACACAACTCATCACTGTCATCACACCTTGTTGACACAACTCATCACTGTCATCAGACCTTGTTGACACAAATCATCACTATCATCAGACCTTGTTGCCACAAATCATCACTGTCATCAGACCTTGTTGCCACAACTCATCACTGTCATCAAACCTTGTTGCCACAACTCATCACTGTCATCAGACCTTGTTGCCACAACTTATCACTGTCATCAGACCTTGTTGCCACAACTCATCACTGTCATCAGACCTTGTTGCCACAACTCATCACTGTCATCAGACCTTGTTGCCACAACTCATCACTGTCATCAGACCTTGTTGACACAACTCATCACTGTCATCAGACCTTGTTGCCACAAATCATCACTGTCATCAGACCTTGTTGCCACAACTCATCACTGTCATCAGACCTTGTTGACACAACTCATCACTGTCATCAGACCTTGTTGACACAAATCATCACTGTCATCAGACCTTGTTGACACAACTCATCACTGTCATCAGACCTTGTTGCCACAAATCATCACTGTCATCAGACCTTGTTGCCACAACTCATCACTGTCATCAGACCTTGTTGCCACAACTGATCACTGTCATCAGACCTTGTTGACACAAATCATCACTGTCATCAGACCTTGTTGCCACAACTCATCACTGTCATCAGACCTTGTTGCCACAACTCATCACTGTCATCAGACCTTGTTGACACAAATCATCACTGTCATCAGACCTTGTTGCCACAACTCATCACTGTCATCAGACCTTGTTGCCACAACTCATCACTGTCATCAGACCTTGTTGCCACAACTCATCACTGTCATCAGACCTTGTTGCCACAAATCATCACTGTCATCAGACAAGTGGTTCTGTAAATTGTGGTACATTTTGTGAAATCATCTTATTTGTCAGCAGTGTTGAGGAGAGAACAGATGCAGCAGCAGCCCATGTGATTGCAGAAACAGGGGAATCTGCTCAGAGTTCTGGTAAGTGGCCACTCCACACATCACAGACTGCATGGTTGACTACAAGGTGAGGGCGCTGCTTGCAAACACGAGTGGACACAGGGCTGAGGTGCTGGGGCAGACAGGGTGGACGCAGTACAGACAGTTTGTGGGCTGAACAGGAGATAGCAGACAGATACAGTAGTCATTTTATAGACTATGGGGGAGACAGGACAAAGACAGTTTCAAGTCACTGTCTCCAACATAAACTATTTGAACTTTACTATTCTCAGCGATGTATTTGTTCAGCAAATGCTCTTCACAATACCGCCAAATGAATAACTAAAGATCAACAGACTACATTTTCTGATCAATATTCAAACAGTCTTAACGTCAACACAATAAAATAATAGTTAATACTTCCTTTTTTGCTCTGTCTTACCATTTTCATGGGGTCTTGGTTCAACTTCAACTAAATCAACTAAAAGTTTTTTTTTAAAAACTGCAAATACTCTCTATACAGGCATACAAATGGCGTGGCCATATACTAGTGTGAAGGTCAGGAATTCTCCCATTCTCAAACTACTATTTATGTTTTCACATCTGCTGCTGAGCTCTGCTCTCAGGTTCTGTTGGCAGCCAAAGACTTATCTACTACAACTGCTCCCCTTACCCATATTCCAATGGAAATATGCCATGAAACTTGTAGTGGGCTGACTTGTGATGTCTCATAGTCACCAGTGACATCATAATTGAGCTCCGTTTCATAGCTGTGCTTTTCCTCAGCTCATGTTTGTAGCTCTGCATATTTTCAGTCTATACGCTGTTCTCTCACAAACATGAGCAAACAGCGGTTCACGCAACTCTGTTACACCTCACTTCATTCACCTCGCCTTCTCTATGTCTCCCTACCTCCCATTCTCTTCTCTACCCTTTTCTCCCATATTTTGATTCTCTCCCTCTGTCTGCCTGTCTTCCATTCTCTTCTCTGCCCTTTTCTCCCCATCTATTTGATTATCTCCCTCTGTCTGCCTCTCTTCCATTCTCTTCTCTGCCCTTTTATCCCCATTTGATTCTCTCCCTCTGCCTCTCTTTCATTCTCTTCTCTGCCCTTTTCTCCCCATTTTTTGCTTCTCTCCCTCTGTCTGCCTCTCTTCGATTCTCTTGCTTTGCTCTTTTCTCTCCCTCTGTTCACTTTCGTGCCTGTCTGTTTGCCTCTCGGTACTGCCCTTTCTGTCTCTGATATCTTTCTCTCTTTCTCTACTTGCATTTGCCTCTCTCTCTCTCTCTCTCTCTCTCTCTCTCTCTCTCTCTCTCTCTCTCTCTCTCTCTCGCTCTCTCTCTCTCTCTCTCTCGTTCGTTCTCTCTCTCTCTCTCTCTCTCTCTCTCTCTCTCTCTCTCTTTACATGTTCGAAGGTCCATTTACACAGGCAAAGGGCAATAATAAAGAGAGAGAGAGTGATAGGTGAACCTGTGTGATATGTGTTTGTGATCGGTAAATTCATCTTACGGATAGCAGATGTAACATATCTCTTTGGATCCCTCTGATATTGGGGGGGGGGGGGGGGGGGGTCTGGTGCGATTCGTTGACTGTGAACAAACTTTATTTTCAAGTTTGATGGTTAGGGAGGGGTGGTGCTGATTCATATAGACTCGTGAGGAGAAGCTTATCCAAGGACTTATGTGATTATGCCTTGTATTTTCAGGCTACAAGTTAGAACAGTTGAAGCAACAGTTGGGGGTCGGCATGAAAGAGAAACGAATTGAAGCCCGACAGAGACGATATGATCAGTTTGCTCTAGATAATGAACAAGGCTTTGAGGAAGAGGAGGAAGAAGAACTGGAATTAGTCGGATCAGATACTGATGATGAGGAGGAGGAGGTAGATGATACAAGGCCATCAGATAGTGATGACGAGGAGGAGGCAGTAGAGGATGCAAAGTCATTGGATACTGGTGAAGATGAAGGTAATGACTGCCACATAAACATGGAAGCTGATGATTCTGATGATGATGATGATGATGTAAGTGCTTCAGCTGCATTTGATCGTTTTAAATCATCCTGCCATATATTTTACTCTTTCTGTGTATTGGT